CACACATTTGTCTTGGCGCACTAACAGTATGAACATTTTTACATAAATGTTGACGAAAAAAGGCATTAATAAAAAAAAATGTTTACTCTTACAAACACTTCCATGGCCAAAAATGTTTTTATTTTTATATTCTTAACAGATGACAAGTACTAAAAACAGCTTTTATTTTTTAGTATGACTATAAATTCAAAGTAAGAGTAAAAAATATAAAATCCTCCATATGCTCAGGCCAGCATGGAATTTTATTGACTCTATAAAAAGTGCTTAAATATACAGTAGTTCATTAAAACACTCCAACTTTTCCAAATATACGATGTTGCGTAGATGCGTAACGAAAAAAAAGCCATATTATGGTGATTCTGTTCAATGGCAAATATTTTATTAAAAAATATTAATTGCCAAACTTTCCTGCAAGATTTCAGCCATCACGTGTTTTTGGAGCCAACATGAGTTTGAGTCACTCTGCAGGTACATCGTGAAAACCTACGTCAACAGGAACAACTTGTGTGGGCCACAGCTGATTACCACTTGCTCTTCGTCCTTCCTATTACCAATTTGAGTGGGGTCTAATTGGAATCTGCAGGAAAATCCAAGGGGGTTCTACTTTTCATACCACAGGGTTTCTATGAACAAATGCTGGGTGAGATGTTTTAAAAATACTCTGAATGGCTTGTCTGGCTTTGACTAAGGCTCTGGAAATGCGTCAGCTGAGAACAACAGTTCTTTACTAGTCTGAAAACCTGAGAACAAGGTCGAGCTTGAACAAAAAATAAGGCATGTGCTCATCAATATTGAAAAGTATTGCATTGTGACTACACACTAAACATTCTCTATATACCTTGAAACTCCAAGAATCACATGTTTGACTATGTACTGCACAAACTCAAACTGTGAGTTCTAATGACCTGTTTGTTTAGGAGCAGGTCCCTTTAGTAGTACATCAATTGCTTCAGGGAGGTCAACAAAGCGAATGACATGTTACAAGCATTACATGGGATAATCAACAAGCAATGCTAACAAATATCTGCACAGGCAGACCCATAAAACCGCAGGAGAAAACCAGAAGTGCTTTGCTGGTTTCGGATTAAACCTGGTATGAATAGAAGTCTATGTGAAAATGAGGCCACTTCGCAGTGGATTTATAACATCAGCAAACATTTTCCGGTATAGCTTATATTCTCATATACAAGTCTGAAGTCATCTTTACTAAAGTCAAGTGAACAAGTAAGAAAAAAATATGTAAATTTGTGCAAAATATAAAACCAAATTACAGGATAAAAGACAAGTAATTAATAAACTGACATGTTGTCTTGAACATGACCTGAAAACTAGCAAATATCACATAATAGGAGTTCTCACAACACTCCTACTAAGACTTGCTGTAAATAGTGTGAGTAGATATCAATTTACACTGGTTTTATATTTATAGGGATTAATGATGGCTACAGATGGCGGTTTCCATTTTTATATATACAGTCTACACTCATCACCGGTGTAGGTTTCATCCTGTACAATATCCTTGGACTGATATCAGCAGTCTTATTTCTTTTTTATATATGGTCCTAAGATTGCAGGGTATCATGGATCTTATGGCTACCAATGGCTGTGTCCATTACTTATATAGGGTCTATTCAAAAACCTCCTGCTGTACTGTTCAAATGATCCTTATTCATGTAACTGAAATTATGTTCCATTAAAAAAAGCATGGAACCACATATTAACACCATATAGAAAACAGATTACTTATATATTATATCAAATAATTTTTGTTGGAGTCACCATGCAACCATAGCCAATATGTAGGCGTAATAAATTTAATTTTAATTTAGAGTTAGAGCTTTCTAAATGTAATCCCCAGCTCCAGACCTCTATCCACATGGTCTCATTTGGATGCAATATTAAATTCCTAATGTAAGTGAATCACAGGCTCCTTCGCAGCTCTGCCTGAGTGCAACTGTGAGGTGTAAACAGAGTAAAAATAGTCTGCTATCACAGGCTTCCCTACAGTCCCGTTATATAATGGCCCAAGCCAGGATGAATGACATCACAGACCGTCCGGCAATCACAACCTCTATGTCCTTTACGATCAGCTGGCTGGATCTACAACTACTACACTCAAAAGTAGTGCGGGTAAAAAAATACAACATGTCAGGGAATCACCTGTCGACACATGCAAAACGCACACGCAGCTGTAGCTTTTCCCCTGACAAACGCCGGTCGTTTCAATCTGCGTGTCTTCGTGTGTGTAGTTGTTGGTCTGTTTTCCTGTGGAGACAACACTTCCGCGATGGTGAAACGTAGATAAACAAATGCAACTGTTTGCCTTTGACAGCCCTTGTCAGCACCAAAAGAGTTCATAAGAGGATAGCGACGGCTTGTGGCGACGCCTTTTAGCGGGGTTTGTCGCTGTTAAGTGATACAAATTTAGTCTGCAAAGAGCGATCGTCAGAGTGGCGCAGTTAATGGAAGTACAGCGGACGCGCTCCTCACTCTGTCAGATTCCACCCGAGGCTCCGCTGTCTTTGGCTCCTCTTAAACACTACTTTGCATCAGCGCCGCGAAATGACACGGCTATACACGTTATTCTCAAATATCCCTCTACAATTTTACCACTACAAAACAGGTCAAGAGGCGAAGTAAACATTTTCCAAAGCCTTCGAAGTAAGAAAAGAGAGCCAGCAGCGCCACCCAGCCCAGTTTCTTCCAGCCATTTTCTCTCCACAGCTCAGAAAGAACAGGGGAAAGTGGCCCGGACAGAGCCAGGAGTGGCTGGAGGAACGGGCAACGGTTGGGGAGATGTACGGGACTTACTGTGGGGTGCAGCGGTCTGCTGAGTTTGTGTCTCTCCTTGTTGCCAGGGCTCCCCTGCGCTTCTCCGGCGCGGACGGTGGAAAGTGGCTCCCCTCCTAATGATGTCTGCAGCGCACGGCGGATAGCTGCTGCTGCCTGTCCCCACCTCCAGGCGAGAGAGAGAGAGAGAGAGAGGGAGGGAGAGGGGGGGGGGGGGGGGGGGGGAGAGGAAGAGAGAGAGAGAGAGAGTAGTTTGTAAGCCACTCATGCAAAATAGTGAGAGAGCTCCGAGCAAGAACAAACAGCCACCGAATTGCAGGATAAGTTTACTGTCAGTAGCTACTCGGGCGTGTAAATACGCACTGCATGTGATCAAGCGCGTGTGTGTGTGTACTAATGATCTGATGCCTAATGAAACAGAACTCAAAGCCCTGGGTAAAGCGGGGTTCTTGCAGCTTTCCACCCATAGCCATGTTTCAAGGTCACTTAGTTTTGTCATTAGAAAAAAAGAAAAAAATGGAGCTGAAGCTCACCTACAGGTTTTAGACAATGTCGTCTACAACGTCAAATTCTCAAAATATTATTACAAGTACTAGTACAATATTATTACCAAGTACTAGTACAAGTACTAGGCAAACATCAACCAGTTTGTGTGTTAAACAAAAGTGTGTGTAATTTTAAATTGAATAGACTTACATTTCATTGTGCATCCTGTAAACAACAAAATCAAAACCCACTAAACACCTCCTCTGTGTCAGTTAATACAATAAACACAATTAAGAATAGAAATAAAATGTCCATATAAATGTTTTCTTGTACTGCATGGTTTCTGTAAGTAAAACAGGAGGGCAAGTTCATATTCTTATTTGTAAAGATCAATAAAATTCTTGTATTTTTTGTGTCTCTTCTCATCTGTGTGAGCTCAGCTGTTAGGCTCGGAGCCCAGTAACAAAGTCTCTTCACTTAAACATTGTGTCTGACATCTTATGCACAAATTAACTGAAAGAAAATTACAACCAGTATATTACTACATGTAACCAAGCAAAACAGAGACATCTGTCATCAGACGGCCATTACAAACATGTTTACATGTTTACTGTTATATCTATGGACCGTGTTAGGATTGCATTGCAGGCTGAAGTTGCAGATCAAGGTGTCATTCTTCTCTCTCAATGTCTAGATTTTAATCTTTACCTGTTGCGTCGTTTTGTGAATTAAATTAATTTTTTTTTTTTTAAAAACATGTCACTTGGACTGCAAAGAAGGCCTTGTGTGTAAAGATGAGCACTTATTGTGTGTTCTGTTCTGAGAACATTAAGTATAGTTGTATTAATTATTAATACATACAATAGAGTGATCAGCCAGAGACATGGACATTTAGTCACTTTACTATTTCTCATGACTTTTTGAGGGAAGACTTGAAACTTGTAACAAGGGTTTAAATATCTCATGGTGTCAGATTGACACAGATTTGGTTTTATCTCATCACCACAGACCAACCCCTGGTTTATGAGATAGTAAAGGTGAAGAGCTACAGAATGCAATATGCGTGTCTCACAAATGAGCGGAATAAAACCCACTCCTAAGCCAGCGTTAATGAACATTTCCACTGCAAACCTCAGCACTGTAAGATTAAGTGGTGTACTTCTGCATTTTTGCATTTCCTGCGACTTTTTCCACTACATTACAAAGGTCATTTGTGTATAATTGTCAGTCTTTTTATAATGTAAACAACAAAACATATGATTTGTTGATGGAACCCTAGGTATGTTTCTAAACCGGTAGTAGAGACTATTTACACACATTTACCCAATTCAAATGATCAATTGCAATGACAATTTAAAATACATTTTAAAATTGTTACAGTCACAGAGGTTATTCTGGAGCGCATTTATCTTTTGATTAGAACAGAACTTTTTATGCATACATTTCATTGTTCTGCTTTTTTATTACAAATGAATATTTATATGCCAGTGCTGCATAAAATATGGTGAAGTCAGTTACCAAAATTAGTGAACCACATCATTAATCAAAGGAGATACAGTTAATGCACAAGACGAGGTCTTCGGTTTTTGAAACACTGGCTGTTATTGTCTCTATCATGACCTATATGATCACATGCTTAGCATACTACACTGTGTTTGCATTTATAAAAGTGCTGATGTCAGAGCTGCAGCTCCTGGCAGGCATTTGAGGTGGAGCGTTTGGGATGTTAGTTAAAAAAAAAAAGCTGAAGTTAACAACTGACAAATATATGTATACATATATTGCTATTACTAATACATAACTGAATTTAATTTAACATAAAGTGATGCAACACTTACCCAAAAACTGGGGACGGGAGTGGCCTAGTGGTTAAAGGATCAGCCAATAATCAGGTGGATTGTGGCTCCAATCCTGGCTCTAACATGGCTGTGTCGTGTTGAAAAAGCAACAAACCAATTGACATCTTTCAATGTCATTATATTTATTCCCTAAAAAAAGGAAGAAAAAAAATTAGACAAAGCTTTATTAGGAAGGTTAGACTTTTAAGACAATGACCTCTACCCTCTAAAATTCTTAAAATATTATTACAAATACTATGCAACATTTACCAGTTTACAAAAAAAGACTGCAGGCCTTTATGATTTTTTTACATAAGGATCTAGACCAGGGAGAGAGTTGTTAAGATTGGGTTTAAAGGTAGCATCCACTGACGGCCTTGAATTTACCAGCAAGTCTGTGTTTCTCCTACAATGAAAGTCAAGATATTAATTAACACCTATAGTTAATGGTATTCTGGAAAGATTAAGGAGTCAGAGAGAAAATAATTCTTCGTAAAAAAGCCAAGGTGGAAACCATTGCTTAATGTTGCATTCGGTGTAAATTTAATGCAGAAACCTCTGTTAACTTCTCTGGCCAAACATGGCAGTTCTGAAAGTAGTGATAGCAGTAGTAGTAGTTCCATTTAACATATTCAATCAGTTTTGAGTGCATCTTTTTATAACACTGACCTCTGCTACAGTACCTTCCCCAGATTTTCAACATGGCAGCGGGTGGTTTTGCCTCCCGTCACGGGAGAGTGCAACCTGACCCTGATAATGAGCCTGTGGGTGCACGAGGCTGTGGAGTGACAGACGATCAGGGATGTATCCTACTCCCTAGCAGTCACTCAATAAGTGGCCTATTGTCCAACACTCTATTGTGCCTCTGTCACATGTAAAACCATACAAAGAGACAGAGAGGTAGGCTGCACTGTGTGCCAAAAGGCTAGCATTACATTCGTGGCCTGGATGCATAGAAATGAACGAGCAGCATCTGGTGCTGAATGGACTTTGATATTTGACTGGAGACAAGGACGGAGACTTTTATTTCACATGCATGTATTATGGAGACTGTATAGATTCTGTGTGATATGCAAAAGTTCTCACAGAGTTTTGTGTAGCGTCACATTGTATTAGATTTATCGTAGTTTGTGTCAGGTCAGAACAAAAATGAGAAGTTGCCAACGTGCTTCTGAATGAAGTCATGCTGCGCTGCATCAGTGAACTCACAGGGTTTGCTCAGTGTCTTATGACCTCACGTAACTCGGGGCACATACAAGTTTGCATTCACACGAGTGTGTTCTAGCAGGACGCCGCACACCCTCTCTTGTTCCTCCCTGCTCTTAGTAAAGGTACACACCTTTACTGGTGATGAAAGGCTTCACATATAGGAATCTCCAGGACAGGCTTTTTTGCATCTGAACTCAGGAGCAGGAGCAGGAGCAGCAGCAGGAGCAGCCTCACTGTCTCTCACCGACTTTGCATTATCTGGAGCACAAAGGGAAAACATAATATGGCCGTAAATGTATGTGTATGTGTGTGCGTGTTTGCGTGTCTGTGTGTGCAGAACAAAGACATGCTGGAGGAATAATAAAGTGCTCCCGCAAGAGAAGCAGATTCTTCCAGTGTTGGGTTACTCCCCTGGAGATGTACCTGTGTTCTTTGTGGGAGGTGTGAATTCTACGCACAATGTCAGGGACATGTGAAGAGCACCAGGTGTGGCCTGTGCTGGGGCCAAGCCCTGAGTTACGGAGACTGTCAGGGAGTCTATTTTAGAGTGAATACCTCACTGAATATTTTGTGAGATCAAGTGATCCAGAAATTCTGCAAAGACACGCAAATCCCAATTAATTAAACACTGGCTGCAGGCAGGACTGAAAAAAAAAATGATGGAAATTTAGTAAATGTCCGCTGAACACAGCAACTGTTGCTCCTCAGTTTAATGAACGGTTAAGATCCAACACAGGGATTTGAAAACCTTTTTAGGATTCAATAAAGATTGAATGAAGAGAAATGCCTGAGGGCCAATGGTGGTTCTGTGATACCTACAGTAGGACTACAACTAAATGACATCATAATCTGACAATGGTGGCTAACATGAAAAAATGTAACTATAAATATAACTGAATATAACCTACCCAGGGTAGAGCACCTATATGTACAGATTTGGCCCACGGGCTGCCAGTTGATGATCACTTGATGGTTTTCAGAAAGTAGTTGTTGGCCACATATTCTGTCTTGGCTTTGACCACACCCACAACATGAATTGACCTATGTTAAAAAAAGTTTCTTTAATCTGTTTATACATTTTCAATTACTAAATTTAAGATGACATATTTAATATTTTAAATTATGCATAAAATTATTTTTTTCTGTCCTAGAAGTTTAAATATTTTATATGGAGGTTAAGAAACCCCACAACTGCACAAGTATTAGTAGCATTTAGGAAAAAAAAGTGTAAATGTGACCTTCCCACTTTACTGACCATCATACTGTACAAAAATTGGACAGTTCACCTGGAATATGAATCAAGAAAACAGTGATCTTAAAACACACACACTAAGGTGGATAAATTATTCACCATCCTTTGGAAGCAGCTCTTAGGGGATATTCTCATGTTTTTATTGGTCACGAGCAGCTGGTCTTTATTGGACGGTGCAGTAACATGGTGACTAAAGTGTATGCCACTGAACATAGTGCACTCAGCCTAACAGGAGTACCTCAGGGTCTCCAGTTGACTGCCTGTTCTTCATACATGTGTGGATGTTACTCTGTGGCAGGAGCAAAAGAACGGGTCAAACACACAGGACAGGTGTTTTTGCTGAAGGAAAAAATGCTCACCCTTCTGTAAGTCCTTCAGTGCAGATGTCAGGAGTTTACTGTCTGCTGACGTTCTCTCACTTCAACAGGCCGCCTATGGCCCACAGCGCTCACTGCGCCCCCCTTTGATCAAATAAGGAAGTGCCTACAGGAAGAACACCACACCATCAATCTGCATGTTTTTCTCAGCACATACAGAGTTGAACAGTATTTGTGCCAACACATAAGTCACTGCCAGATGTACAAACAAGGACATAATTATCAGTGTCATTTATTTCAGCACATCTTTTAATGTTATACTGCAGCACTTTTGAAAATATTTCATTTAAAATTGACAATGTAATAGATTTATTTAATGAGTTGAAGTGATTTCACTTACAGAAACGATTTCGTAAACTTAACAAGGTCAAAACAAGAAAGACTTGGGATTTTACTGAAAAGTGAGCAACGATGAATTTAACTTTTTAATTAAATTTAAAAAAATTTTTTTTTCTTCAGAAGGAAATAAATAGTTCACTTAGACAAACCAAAACTTCTTTTTTTGTCAGACATCACTTTTAGTTTATATGATTCTTTTCACACCGACTCCCAAACAAACAAAATAAATCAGGCTTAAAGTTGACCTTGCAGTTGTAATCCTACAGCAGCTGCCGGGCTATTTCCTCACCTGTTCTCACACACACTCTCTGTCTACTGCAGTGAGGCAGATCGAAGTGGGAAGGATTAGGATGCAAAGAGAGTCCCCCCTTAATCTGTGTAATAACTGCAGCCAATTAAATCAGTCTGTCCTGGGCAACCATATTTTAGGGAGCGGTCTGGGGAGCCTAAGAGCGGACTGTAGAAAAATAAAAAAAATCCCATGTCTGATTAGAAAAGACAAACACAGACCTAAATACGTCGCCCTTCTCGCAGTGTCTCACGCAATAGTTCTAACACACACAAAATAGGAATCTGTCTCTTTCACTTCTGGAACAAAAACATAATATGAAACTGTTGCCTGTGTAAATTGACCTGCATCATCACAGACACACACATAGTTTTTATACTTGTTAAACAGACTCTGGAGTGTTCTCTCTACTGGTTGGACCTGAATCCTGCTGCTGCTGCTGCTGCTGCTGGGCAAGCATTCATTCCATCTGTCTTTTTTTTTCTTTTTGATGAAGTTAATAGATTTATTTAACACTCCAACAACTCCAAATAATAAAAAGCAAATAAGAGCAAAAAAGAAAAAAAAGTCAGTCACGCCTGCAGACTTTTCTCCTCCTACTAAGCACTTTAATTATTGACCTGGTGAAGGCAGCTCCTGCCAACTACCAAAGTGCAAACAGTGATGTACTGTCCGAGGACAGGTCTGTCTGCAGGACACGGCCACCGACTCTCGGGGTGAGCAGGGAGTCAGGTGGATAAAGATGGCCACCTGTCAAACGTGGAGCGTACACATCACACCCTGCTCGTCTGACTGTGGTGTGTGTTTGTGAGTGAGTGTGACTGTGTTTGAACAGTGCGAGGACACAACATAAGCTACAGGGAGGGACAGGAGACGAGGGAGAGTGGGGGCAGAGTCTCGTCTGGATCATGTATTTACGAAACGTTGCAGTTTCACTCACTTTTCTTTTGGAGAACAAAATGAGATCAGAATCACCCGTTATCTCTGGTAAACATTAAAACTAGAGATCACATCTGCACTACTCTTTTTTCTATTTGACAGAACTCTCAATTTCTCAGAGACAAACACCGGAGTTCCTTTGTGTACCCACATCTCATCTCTCTGTGTAGAGAAAGCAAACATTACTACTGCTGCAGGGAGAAGTGGCGAGGCACGAGGAACTCCATCCATGTGCTACCAGCAGCTTGACATTACTGCACCCCAGATGCTGACTGACAACCTTGACCCTGATCATGAAGTTGTAAAGTACAGACACTGGTGACTTTTCTCATTTTTGTTTTTGAATTTATTGCCATGTTTGTCTATTGTGGAAAGGTTTGCAAGTTTATTTGCTCTTGTTTCTTTGCCATATTTGCTATCTATTTAGGCATCACAAGGCTCCCCTAAGGCTGTTTGGTTTGTATTCACACCTTTTGTAAGGTATTCAAGGTTTCTTTTCCTCGTGTGATCTGATGTAAATGGGAATTGCTATGTACTTACAGCAGACAGTTCTTTTCTAGTCCTGATGACAATTCAAAGGGCTTTTAACTAGAAGTCTGGTCATTTACATTCTGACAGCATGCAGAGTAGCAGGTCTGGAATTGGTCCCACAACCCTGTGGCTAAAAATCGACTGCACTGCATATCGATCCACAGTCACCTCACAGACTTAAAATGCACAGAAGAGGCTGAAACAGTTTGTAGAAAAATCTGACCAACTTATTGCAACAGTGCCTGAGCCTTTAAACAGCCTGCCGCTCCTTTTAATGGTTCTGACAATAATTTTATACATCTGTACAATAAACTGAGTTTGGACTTCTGGAGTTTTTTTCCTCCCTCTTAATCATAAATACCTTATTTTCACACTTTAACAGATATGTAGTGATAAATAAATGATTAGATGTTACCCAATAATTAGAACCACTGTTCACCCACTTACATGGCCCAGGGCTCTAACACTGTTAAAGTTGTTAGAGGACAGGTGAAGTGAGAAGACAGCGCCGCTGTAAATGCCCTGGCTCGCCACACACATTGATTACAATGCGTCATGGTCCAGGATCGATACTGCTTCTGTGGCTTCACCTCCTGACCGCCATCATTAGCACCTGCCATCTCCTCACACTTTCACTGTCCCTGATGCCATCAGCCACCTGCCTCTGCTGCCTGTACAGACAGGACACAGAGACAGGGGTTTCTGAATGTCCGACATAAGGCTATTGGAGTTAGACCGCTGCCAAAAGGGTTTATGTTAGGACAAGTTAATTTTAGCACGTCATCTGTTTCTTGTACATTTCCCTGTCCGTCGTCATGGTTTTGATTATTTTTGTGGTTAACTCTTAGATATTTTTTCCCCAGCAATGTCTTACCTTATGTAACTTGTAGCCTAACGTTGAGGGTTTTTTTGTTAAGTGGCATCTTACTTTTATGTTGTAAATGTATCATCAGATAATAACAGTACAGTGGAAAATATATAGAATTTATGCTTCAAGAAATGATATATCTTCTTGGTTTTGTGAGTTTGTTCTGTTCAATAATTTTCCTACCTTTATAGGAATTTGTATAGGAATGATAGAGAAAGGCAGAGTCTTTACCAATCATCAAACTTGTCTTTTGATTGTGCCGCTGAAATCATTTGATTGCTGCCTTGCTCAAGTGTCTCCAGGGATTCTGGATGCTCAGTTGAAAGGCTTTAACAAAAAGAAGAGAAAAAATGAAATCAATAAAGTAGTTATCAACAGACGGCCTCCCCAGACACTGGGCCGCAGGAGGCCTGAAAACATTGCGCTCGTACAGAGGCTGCAACACCATTGATTAATCTTTATCACTATGTTACTCAGTGCATGTCCAGGCATAATTGTAACCAGAGAAAAACTCTCTCTAATTGAGAGAGTCCCAGTGTGAAGCTGATAAGTGTGTTCTGACTGTTTGTTGGTGCAGGACCATGCTTCATGTTTGCATGTCATTATCTGCACTTATGTGCTTTCTCAGCATGGGAGGGCGTGGATTTTTTTTTAACTGCAAATGAGGTAGAACATTCCCACTGACTTTTTTTGCAGTCATTTCTTCCCTGGGTTGTAAATGTGCCTGTCTGCTGACTAAGAAATATGACACACAGTCTGTAGGTGATCACTTCCATGCCTATGCTGTATGTATTTGACTTTGTCTGGACTCCTTCCTGTAAACTGAGATCTTTAGGGTTTGGGAAATTTTGACACCGTAATGTTAGATCTACAGGCATCGGAATAAATAGAATGTGATTGGAAGTGGTAATGTTATATACATTAAAGTAAGAATGTGAACAGTACAGGCGTGTACTGCACAAAAACACAATAAATTTATACTGCTTAATAGTCTTGGATTCACTGGAGATAAAATGACATAATGACTGTGTTACTGCTGTCGTTGAGGCGTTGTTTGTGACAGTTTAGTATGTTATGTCTTTGTTCTGATAGTTACAGTATTTGGCACCATCACCACTACCTTTAACACAATGAACATTTTCAACAAATAAAAATAACGTCCGATCTGGGCATAAAAGACATTTTCTCCTGGGTATTCTAGGGCGTGATTGTGATACCTTTGTGTTATTCTTCTTTCTTCTGTACTATTGTAATTTATTGTTTTATTGTATGTTTTACAGCTATTTTGTCTCTGATTTATCGATGTTGTTATACTGGCCTGTGTATTGCTTGAACAGCACTTTGGTCAAATACAGTTGTTTCCCAACGTGGAATAAAAGACTCAACTTTTGGAATCTTTGTTTCTGCTCCTCACACCCTACAGTCGTTTGTTTTAACATAAGACTTGTAACGCACCCTTGTTCTGTGTGATCATCAAACTGCTGATCAGTCTCAGACAATCCAGTCAGACAAGCCTGGCGTATAATTGGCAACTGACAACTCCGCTCAAATCTGTCTTGTCAAGAGTGGGAGTCACTGCTGAAATGAAAAACATATGGAATAACATAATTAAAAAATAAGATTTAATCTTTATGAAACAAGACAGCAGTGATTAATGTGCATTTTTCACATCACTTCATTTGAACGCCTGATGTGTTTTATTTGCAGTGTTTCTCCAGTGTGTTTCATTCATTTCCGTAGAAGCCCTGCTCACTATTTATACTTCACTTCCTCTTTATGTCATCACTTCTGTGGAGTTTTAATCATGCACATTCTTTTAAGTGTATAAGCTGGAAAAGCAAAACATAACTCAGAACTGAGCACGGATCATTAACTGGCTTCAGTAGCTGCAGCAGGCTTTATGTAACACAACAGTCAAAAACACAGCACGCCGCTTTGTCCCACAAATGCTCCACGACCACTTGACACAACATGAAAGCATGTGGATTTAAGTCATAAACTTCAGCTGATCTGTTTCCCGTAGGTGTGTGTGTGTGTGTGTGTCGGTGGTTGTGTGTTTTCAAAAAAGCAGATCTGGGAGTTTCCCATTTCCCAGAAATATCACTGCCAGCTTAGATATTTCATCACATTTCATAACATATTAAAACATGACCAATTGTAAAAGATTTGCTGACTTCTTTTGTAATCTGACGACTGATAGCAGAACATAGACTTACAACACGTCTTTGGCCTAGTTGAGCATGAAAGGGATGTTTTATACAGGAAAAAAGGTTCAAACTTAAATTTAGAAAAAGTTTCCCTGAAGTAAGGGCAGTCATAACTCACCCCAACAAATATACACAACCAATATTGTAGCTAGAAGTACCTTAACCTTAGTCATAATAAATCACAGTTGCCCTTAAAAACTAGCAATAAAATGAGCAAAAGATATATACCAGGAGTTAGCTATTTATGCTACAAATAAGATAAAAGATAAGTAAACAATGATTAAAAAATATATACAGTAATAATTCATAGAAGCAGTTACTACAGGAATGTGTCTGGTGTTGTGCTGTTTGTGTTAGTTTTCTGTCATACTCTTTCTGTGCGTATGCATGTGTGTGTATGTGTGAGTGACTCTGTTTTCTTGTCACTCTATTTATAGCAGACCTCCTGCCGCTGAGCCAGGCACTGGCACATGTTGTCAGTCAGCAGGCCAGATTATGACCCATCAGATTCTTACTGACTCTGCCATCTGGTCAGAAAGGATTTCTTTGATTCCCTGTCCATCCATAGTACACACACACACACACACACAAACCCACTAAAACACTATGCGGAGATTATCGTGTTATCTGTGCATTAAATATCTGAGGAGAAACTTCAATTAAAACCCTGAACTCTCTAGTCAGCTACTTTGTTTTCTGCAGCTCCTGCTTACACGGCAAAATACTGCATGGTAATGTAGCTGTTAAATATGAGAGTTGATGCTAATGAAATGCAGATTGTCTGAAGGACAAGCGGCGGCTTTGTTGGCCTCATCAGTGACACTAATCAACTGCAGCAGGAAGCTGCTGTGTGTATATTAACACAGGTATTTACAGTATGTTCATGATTTCAACAAGTCAAGAATTATTTTCATGACTTACTAAAAACCCCTGACAGTGAATTAGTGCCAGGTGGTGAGGCTGTAATTCGACTGTGAACTGCCACTAAGTTAAATCTTCTTTCACAAACCATAGCAGATGCAGCCTACTCTCTTTTTACTTTTAGCACAAAACTTTCCCATTTATCCTGTTAGATGAGCCACCAGAAGTGTATGCTGGTGTGTTTACTGTATATTCACTGACACTGCAAAACTGCTGCTAAAATCCCAAAAACTAAATAGATATCAGACAGACTATTGATGGTTATATGAGGTTTGTACCTGCTACTGAAGTTACATGTTTTACAAAAGTAAAATTTTTTAAATTGTAGTGGTTATCACATTTATCTCACTCAGAAAAGATCCAAAGTTAAAACTGGACAAGGTCTATTTAAGTATGTCAGTCTGGCCCAATTGAGGGTTAACAAAAGGTTGCGGGTTTAGGTCCCCATCTTAGGACTGATTACGACTCTAATCATCTTGTTGACCAACTTTTGGTTAATTACCTTTTAGCTAACCTGTGAAATGTTTTGACTTCAACTCACCTAATCTCTAATCCTATTATAATGCAATTGACCAGCATGTAATGCCTTTCACTTGAAGTAACGTGCACGACATGATGTAAGTCATGAGACCCATATATATTACAGAAGGCGAGCAGCACAATTTCTCACTCACAATAAAGTCATGAAGCTAATTACTTACAACAGATTTAAAGGCAAATTCAACATTTTAAAAACAAAAAAAAATTATTTTTTTTGCTCTAGCTACAAAATCATGACTAAATTGCTCTGAAGGGAAAAAAAACTATAAATAAGATGTACATCTCAGCCTATGCAATTCCATACAGTGTACACTGTATATGGGCATACAGCAGCCTTACACAAACTCTCCATTAAATAATCCTTTTTTGGGTATGTGGGTCTGCAGACATACAATACAGAACGTACCCTAGATTAGGTGGGACCAGGTGGTCGTTCAGCTGGGGCCCCAGTGAGGGATCAGTTGTGGACCTGGAACATGAAACTTGTGTGTCACACACACATATAACCTGCTGCTGCAGTTCACACAGGATGTCACGGAGGAGGCACAGACACAGTCAGAGGAGGGATTACATTTACAGCACAGGACTCTATGTTCAGTATGCTGACACACACACACACACACACACACACAATGTGTCAACTTAGGAAAAATTTGACGCTTTATTAATATAATATTATGTATTTCATGGAGTTAAGAATAGGAATGGTAGTTTGTGCCAATAACATTGTAAGGATTAGTGTGTTAGCCTGTGTGTGTGTGTGTGTGTGTATGAACTCCCCAGAGGGTTAGACAGAGGGTGGGGCCCATTTGAGGATGTTAAGGAACATAAAACAGCTGACAGTTCTGTAATATGCACACACACACGTACACAAGCAAGCACACAGGCCGATACACACACGCTAACACACAGTGCTCAATAATAAGTCTGCTGCTCTGTCATCAGGTGCTTATCCCTTCCTTCTTTTCCTCCTCCTCCTTCTTGTCCTCCTCCTCCTCTCGTCTCCTCCCTCCATCCGTATATAGTGTAGTACTACATGCCGTGGCTGACAGCTCATGCCGAGCCAGCACATTCCACATTATTACTACTTCAGATGTTTGTGGCCCAGAAGCTCCCCGATTGGCTCAGCCCACAAAGGCTTGGAGGCGACTAACAACCAATGAGAAGTCAGCTCTGGAGAGAGACAGTAAATATATAGGGAACTCCCTCTACTGGGTGACACAGAGATTGTCTGTGTTTGTTAGAACAGAAAATAGTATTTTAAAGGACTGTAATTGAATATTCACTTCAATTTAATTTTTAATATTTTGTATGAATAGTACAAAGTTTATATTATTTAAGTTGATCCAAAGAAGTTCAGAAACAGGAACCTAGATTGACTTCTAAACAAAGTGTAAGATGTGTCACCTCTGGGGGGCACCAAAGCTGAGTTACCTCCAGAAAAAGATAGAAACCTTGCAGCAGACAAAGACAGGAAAGTAATGACTTCCAAACTTAAAGTCCTTCATCTGGCATTAAAAAGCGACTAAAGACGAGGTTCAGTTTCAAAAGTTTGTATAACTCCATTATTCTGTAAGATCGATTCAGATGGAGCTACTACTGCTGATGGAAACAGAGTCAGTTAGGAGACACTAAAGGTCCTACACCTGCTATCATACAGAACACCGACTGAACAATATACTGTATACTTTACTGTACAGACTGTATTGCGTAGAGTCAACGCCCGGCCTGTGTTGAAATTGTTGCCAAAGGTAAGTACTGAGCAAAGATCACAAACATCGGCTGTTGTCCTCAAGCGACTTTCTTTATCTTTCAGTTACGTGTGTGTGTGTGTGCTTGTTTTGAGGCACACATGCGTCTGTTTGCCTTTTGTTTGTATGTACTGTACACGTACATACAGTGAGTATGCGACAGAGCAAACAGAATGCTGAGCTGTGCAGGGCAGCTCTTGTATAATAAGTGCTTGCTTTAGTGCGGCTGGTTGAATTTTAATAGAGTTCTGCAGGGTATTCCATCGCCTCTGGTCCCACGGCTCAGAGATCAGAGAGAATTTTGGAGTACAGTGTCCCTCAGCCTTTCACTCTCACTGCATACGTTCCTTCTTTTCTTTTCTTTTCTTTTCTTATTTCTGCTCTCTTCAAACATTTTTAACTCCATTTTTTTCCAATACGTTGCTTTCCTTCCAGCTTGTGTCTCTCTCCTTTAATCCCTCTCTGTGTCTCGCACTTTCTGACGTTTTTCTCCCATTGAAATTCCTAATAGATCCACTACAGGCCTTAGTGTTACTAAGCCTCTCTCTCAGCTCTCTGGCACCGAGAACAACTCGTGGCTCTAAGCATAAGAATTGAAGGACAAAATGCAGTGGAGAACTTTTAAAAATCCAGAACAAAGGCTGAAAACAATGTTTGGTTTAAGATTTTAAAACACAGTGTTTTTTTCTCACTGCCCCACAGCCATTTAAGGAGTTTAATGCTTTTGCTTACATTTATGTTAGCGTATTAAAAAAATTGGCAAAATGTATCACATTTACAAATCAGACTCTGAATTAATTAAAACGTATTATATAAATAAAATGACGTAACAAATGCTAACATTCTTGACAAATCTGTAGCCCATGTCGCTGAAAAGTGTTTAAAAATAATTTATATCAAAACTCAAATAGTGAAAAATACTGCCAGATGTAGCTTATTAAGCACTAGCCCAAAATTAGCTTAACGTTGGCCAAAAACATCACAGGAAATAAAAGGGTTAAAAAACATATATATAGTCATCTGTGGATCAAAACGTAAACATTTTTTAAATTTTAAGCAGGTGATAAAATGTAGGAAGATGAAAATCACTGTAACATATTTTTAATTTGTCACAAAAAATATATTCCAGTTTAAAAATCCTAATTGAATAATTTCCAAAAGATATATGACCTAACGATTGAAAACTATTTGTCTGGGTGTTTGGTTGTATACAGCAGTAAAATCGAGAGAAAATTAAGTGATGAAGAGAACGAGTCAAAACGCTTAACAGGATAATTTTCCATCTGTGTAAAAATCAATGAGAGAAAATAGATGTGAAAAGAATTGAAAAGAGCTAAACGCTGGCTGTGATGTTTTATTTTTAATGTGTGTGTGTGTGTGTGTGTGCATGGAGTGAGAAAGCTGGCATGAAACTAGTTAATGATTATTAATTCATAAGGATTAATGCCTGCTCTTTAAAACCTCAACGCTCTGACTAGAGCAAAAACCAAGGCTCTTCCTACTGGGACCTAAGACAAAATCTGCCTCTGGCTAAACCCACAACAACGCGGCTCATGATGGCTCAGATCTGGCACCGAAAATCCTTCAGTGGGTGTAACAGTGTAATCTGCAAGCTGTTTGTCTCGCCCTGACACAGCGCGACTGTATTAATGATTTGCGACCTTTATTCAAACACGATGGGGATTTGTTTGTGTAGTGTCTATAAAGAAATATAACTATATCAACACTGTTCTGCCAAATAATACACCTCCCACCACCATTTGCCTAAACAAATAGTTGGGGGCTTCCTAGTGAATAATCACTGCAGTGACAATGTGTTCCAGCTCACTACATGTTATTTAACCTGCAGTGAAGCAGTGAGTGGCAACACCAATGTGTAATTTTGTTTTTTATCTCAGAAAGGCCAAGTCACTGACATTTGTCAAGATTTGAAAAAATTAATAGGAAAAATTAATTATTCAAATGAACCCCCCTCAACAAAAAAATCTTAAGTGATTACAAATAAACAGCTTCGAATTCATGAAAATGAACAACTACTGCGGCTAATCTCAAAAAGAGCCTACAATTTGCTATAAAGCATGAAGAATGGAGCCTGAAGCAATGAAAAAAGCTCATATGGAGTGCAATTTTCACTTGTTTCATAAGGATAATAGGTAACAAAGGCTGAGTGGACGCTATTTGAAATGATTACCCATTCTTTTGTGCCTCCGTATAAGCCTGTAGGAGGCAGCGTTTTGATTTTTCCACTCTGGTTTCACTGGTATATTTCATGTTGATCCCAGTAAATAGCTCTTAAAGCCAACGTTGGTTTCACTCCGAATTACGCCAGTATTACCAACATTAAAATACAGCTGCAAAGACCTGAAGTAGTACAACAACTGTTTCAAAGCGAGACTTTGACTGTTGTATTCAACATTTTCTCCCATAGAAAATCCTAATTCCAATGTGTACCACAAGAGGGAGTCCAAGTACTACCAGCGGTATGTCTACCTTAGATTCGACATTCTACTTTTTTTTTAATAAAAAATAAATTAAATACTTTTTGGTCCTAAGATGAAGCATAAATTTTGGACCACAAAAAAAAACCAAGAATAATTATATCTTTGCCAGCGCTAATGAAGCTAATAAAGTTAGCAAATATGCTAACTTGATATCTTTACCTGGTGAATTTGTACAATAAGTTTTCCGGAAACATACAGTAGAGTATTATCATGAAGTGGTACTTCGTTGCACCCGACAACTTCATTATGTCTAAAGAAACCATCAATACCATACAGATATGTAGCTGTAGTGAGTCGTTCTATCGTAGATAACTAATGTAAAAATAATAACGTCATAACTAAAGCAACAAACCCACGAAGCACAAATCAATCATAGCTAGAACATACTGCAAATCAAAATGTATCAATTATATCATACTACAATTAGAATATTATTAAAAAGAAAAAACATATTTTGACTCACCAAAATTCGACAGAAGCAGCGGACGTAGAGACAAATTATTTTTTTAGCGGGCAAGTCGAAATTAGCTGTTGTTTGGTAGATTAGAGACGTGGGTTCTTTGACCAACCAATCAAATCACTCCAATCGCCAACGTAACTGCGGCCCATCCTAAAAGGCCTAGATATGAGAATTTGATGTGAACTCAAAATCTGATTGGTTAAAGAAACAACGCCGCAGCCATTTACTTTAGACTGAAGGTCTTTAGGCCTAATTTTTCATCCTGGCAACACATGAGGCCGAAATATATTTGGATAAATTCCATAGAACAGAATACTCTGTATTATTGTATAAATATTAACAATAATATATATTGAAAAATAAGTCACTGATTCTGGTACTGTTAAAGCCAAGAGAGCCTTTACTTCACTGCCAGCGCTGCCACCACAACTGTATGTTCTTTCACCCAAACGTGTGGCTTAATGGTTTACTCAAAATGGCGGACACCGTTTATTAATATGTATTTTTGCTTCACCTAACGTATATGCTTGATCAGCTCATCCGGGTTCAGGCTCTTACCTGCAGTTGTGTTGTTCTCACATACACTTCAATTCCTGCTTTACGTCAGGAATTACGTGATTTTGTCGATTGCCATTGTACTTATTATATAAATAAAACAACAACATGTGTAGAAGTAAAAGTTTCCAAAAATAAAAGCCTAGGTGTGGTGTACTATAACAATGATTTACAGTATTGGTCCCGTTAGACCACATGGGCTAAATGCCGCCCTCTTGTGACAACATGTACATAAAACTGCTTTAGCTCCCAACAATTTTTATCTTGAGTGCAAAAAAGCACAAGTCAAGTGGAGAGTCAAGTTCAACTTTTCAAGTTTTATTTGTCAAGACAACTGAGATATTTATTTGTCGTTGTACATTGAACATATAGCCCAGGAATTTATTTCAGACATTAAAAAACTAGAAGAGCATTATTAATTTTTTTTACTTTTTTTCTAGAAATGATGTATAAAAATATATGTAATCATAACAACAAATAAATAATTGTGGCGTTTAAGGTTCATAACAAAAAACTTCCACTTCTACATTCTACATCAATAATGCTCAACAGTTTAGTTAAAGTTTATTCTGGTTAAAATGTTCTGGTTCTGGTAATTTGCTCTATTATGGGACCACCTGATGGACGACAGGCTATCTGTCATCACTTCTCTGGACCACAATAGTCCCTGCCACAACGTCATACACTGTCCTGTTGTGCTGGAAGAAGAGAAGCGTGATGAAGACAGGAAAGAGGAAGGCGATGGAGAAGTTCTTGTTCAGCGCTCGCACCATGGATCTGTGAAGGTCAAGGCAGAGGACAACACAGGTGACAAGTGGAACTCTCAAAGGTGGGAAAAGAGGGGATTGGGTTGGATTACTCACGCAGAGAAGGAAACGTTAGATGCTGGTGCCACAAGCACTCGATTAGGTTGGACCACAGCGGACGTGTTACATGTCACCACCCGTAAACCCAGCAGAAACTTCCCTGGAGTGGCCCCACCAGCCCCCCAGATACAGATGGTCTGATGGACAAGGATGAAGAGGAGTGAATTAGACAATATAGGAGAAAATATGTGAGAAGATAATATTAATGTTTCTCGCCATTAAGGAAAAAAAAAGTCAGAGAATGAAGTCTACAGTGAGTCGTGTGAATCATTCTGCACAGATGTGCTTAAATGTCCCAGAGCTGCGTCTCTCCTGAGGGGAGAGAGCCACTGGTGCAGAACCTGCAGCATGATTTCACCTCAGGCAACTCTGAATGCCACGTTGCATCACTGCCCTGGTAAACAACGGTGTTGTGGTGTACAAGAGTGCAGCCTTATAATAAACAGGCTTTGATTTGATTGAAATCAAAGGTAACTATTGCTAAATATGTCATTCTGTGGATAATCTTTTTTAATCCTTTTACTACTTCATGGAAAACTTTTAGAACCTTTGAACAAGGCTACATTCTGTGCTCACATCAAACCTGATTTGAGTAGATAGAGCCAAAAGGGATATTTCTTCTAATACTACATACAGTTATTATGGCAGTACTTTAAAAAGAAATGTATGTATGTAAAAAACAATGTACCTCGTAGACGCACACCAGCAACCTGTAGACCAGAGCCATGACCATCATTTTCTGAAGGTCCTCCAGGGATGTGGTCTCATCAATCTCCTCCACGATGAAGTGGCTGATTAACTTGGCAATGTCCCTTCAGAGATCAGAGTCAGCGTTAAGACTCACAACATTAAAACCTGTGATAATTATTAATGGTTTAATTCAGACACTCATGTTTCCATTAAGCCTGGATTCACTCACTTCATCCCACTCAGATGCACGACCCACAGAACGATGGTGGCCTTCACACAGAACAAAATCATGAAATCCACTGTTTCTGCAAGGAACCTTTGCAGAGGAGAGGGCACGGTGTATTCACGCCCTGTGGAAAAAGTCAGATCCTCTGTGATTTCACATTAATAACATTGAGTAACTTCACTGTCCAGTTAAGGCTGGTTTTTATAAAAGTGAAACTGATGAGCATTAAGTGGAAACAACCCATCCTTGAGCAGATTAGACATTTAATACTAACAGTAAGATGTTTGGTGTAACTGTACTGTAAGGTTTGAACATATTAACACTATGTTTTGGTACAGTGTTATTGGTTGATTTAAACAAAAACATGTTTTCAAAACACACATAATTAAGGTAGCTGAATCTAAATGTTGTTTATGCTGTAGTTCTATGAAATACGTACCAGTCTGAGGTGCATTGTTTCCGTTCTGCTGTGGTTGTTGTTGTTGTTGTTGTTGCTGTTGCTGTTGTTGTTGTTGATGTTGGACGACAGTCTGAACTGACCTCCAATCGGTTGGAACACCACCTCCTACAGGATGAGTGGAGTTAGCAGCCAAGCCTGGAGGATAGTAGGGATAAATGCTCCGTGCGTACACCGCCTGCTTCTCTGCGACACCGGGAGGAGTGAGCGTGTGGAGCGGAGGGAAGGAGCTGGCGGACAGGCAGAGCCAGCTCTGCCAGCCGCTGTAGCCCCAGTAATACTGCCACATCCACCGCTGCAGCTCGGAGCAGTAGTCCGCCGTCACGGTGCTCTGAGGCGGCTCAGGGCTGCTCTCAGTCCCGGACATGTCTGGATCACATGAACGTCGACAGACACACAGATAATCCTCTCCTCCTCTGAGCTCCTCAGCTCCTGCTGGTTATATACAGCGATGCACTGGTTCTGTGTGATTACATTAACACACAGTTATTCATCATCGTAACATGCACAAAAAAATAAATGCAAACGCAACATCGTTGCATGTCGTTGACAAACTATCATGTCAACTTTCTTCCATCTTCAAGATTTGAGAATAAAGTTGTTTCCAACACCCCTCACATCACTGATGGTACAATCCGAGTCAAAGGAGACACTAAAAAGCACTCTTCTAAAAACACCACGAGAGGGCAGCAAAGACTCACACAAGTTTGACACCAACCTCTTAAATCATTTGAGAAGTGTTTTATCATTATTTGTATTTATTTTGTTAAATAAATAAATGTTTATTTTATTGTTTATTTGATCTTTTTCTGGTTTCGAGAATATTCTGCTTAGATTCTGATGATTTGAACACACACAGACACACACGCCCAAACAAAGAGCAGAGACAGACAGAATTTCGACACACATTGACCTCTATATATGGAGTCACCCATGTCTCCCTCTGTCTCTCTGTTTGCTCTACCCCCTGTTCACATTGAAAGCTTGATGCAGGTCATATTTGCTGACTCTGTTGGTCCAA